ATTCCCTATTCCCTCCTCAAGCCTCCTGGGGGAAGATACAGGTGGATAATAGTAGAAGGAACTCCTGGGTACACCTGTGCTACATAACGCAGTGCCATGCAGAGATGTCCCAGTTAACTTCAGTCTGAGTACCAGGAGCAGTATAACTTGTGTTAATCTGACACTTCACCCAGCTAATTTGATCTTGCTGCTTGTACAGTTCAGACATGCCTCTGTCTGCCTTTGCCTTTCTTAATTTTGTTTTGCAAACAGAAAAGACACTCCAGCCTTTTTGTACTCTCTGGAGCGTTTTGTTTTCATTGATATTTTTAAAAGGCCTTTGGGAAACTAACTGATAAGTGAGAGCTTGAACTTTCTTTGTCTCTTTTTTAAAGAAAAAATATGAATAAAAAGTTCTTTTTTCATTTCCCTCCCATAGCCCCAAGCAGTGTCCTCTGCCTCCTGTTAAACTTATCGCAACAAAGGGAGAAACACAGCTCTGCTCATATGTCCTTAATGCAGGGCAAGTGAGATCTAGCTCTGGTCTGAATGGTGATCTGTATTACTTAGCTAATGCCAGTGAAATTTTGTATTTTCTGCTTGGTTCTTTCCTTATGCAGTTACCAGTTAGTTCCCCAAAGGCCTTTTAAAAATATCAGTGAAAACAAAACACTCCAGAGAGTACAAAAATGCTTTGAAAATTGCATTTGATCTACCCTTACAAAAAAGCTTGGGGATAGAGGAGAAATTTAACTGCTTTAGGCCATGATCCTCTAAAGCAGGACTGTCCGGCCTCTAAGCCCCCAGGGGCCACATGCCGTGTGGGCCAAACCAGGCATACCATGTGGACACTTCACCCCCTGCCCTGCCTCCACCACAGGCATCACTGTACCACATAAGTGCGATCCCCTGCTCCCTACATGCAGCCCCAGTCCCCCCTTCATTACAGCCCTAGATTCCTCCTCCTCTGCTTGTGCAGCTGCACTGCCCTGACTCGTGGGGTGAAGGCAGGAAATATCAGCCAAAGAGGAAGGTGGGGAGCCTGGAGACTCCGGCTTCTATTGCAGTAAGAGCTATGGGGGGGAGTGATGGCCTAGTGAGAACCTGTGGGCCACACATTAACCCCAGAAGGCCACATGAAGCCTATGGGCCACCCTACTGTAGGGCAGCCCTACTGTAAAGGTTTAAATTTATGGACTGTGGCAAGTACAAGTGGGATCACTCTTAGTGTCAATGTCTTTGCAAAACCATGGCCCTGAAAAAAGCTGTGTTTTTTCACAAGGCTGGAAGTCATGCTTGTGAGAAATGTAAGCCCTTTAAGGTCTGTATCTGGGATGATTTTCCTACATCAGGGACACCTGGACTGTCATAACTGCATACAGTGCCAATGGAAAAGACAGAGATCAGTTAGCCGATAAATCTTAGTGGGAAAAATCTACTCTCACCAACATAACACAAACAGAAAAAATGTTTTCCTGGAAGAATGCATACACACAGGAGATATTTAATATTTTCCTCTTTATAGATAATCTTTTTTAAATGCCTCTTTAGAACCAAACTGATAAATTTGCCAAAAGACTGCTCAGTAGGATTTTACACATAGATCAAGCCCACACAAACAAAACATTGGGAAATTCATACGTTTGTGCACAGCAGGAAAATACAAAGCATGAAGAACTTAGACACGCAATGATTTTAAAGTTTTTTTCATGGTCTGGTTGCTCATAGCTTTGGCCTCCAAAATCATTTACTTGGTTTAAGCTAAAATGGCAGCATTGGTTTTCACTCTCAGCTAACCTTTAATATCTTTCTTGGTTCACTGAATTAGAGAAGAGCCGTCAAGTCTAGGGGATTTGGCTAAAAATTAAATCTGGACTCACTTAAATATATCAATGAGCAGGTATTAAATGAATACACCAAGACTAGGTACAGACATTCAAAAAGCCTGCGCTGGAATTGATCTAAATTACAGTTTTCTGTAATCAGCATAGTTTAGATAGGTAGCGCAGAGAACACACATTTCCCCTTTGGTGAGGGGGAGCGGGGGACAAATTTTAGACAGGGTTCTGCCATTTTTAACTAGTCTTGGTGTGCTAAACTTCTGTTCTGTTATGGGTATAGGCCAATTTTGTGCGCCAAACTTCTGTTATAAATATAGACTGGTTTCCAGTAACTTATACCTGTAAAACTGTAATGTCTGCACCTGGCCCAAAAATAAAAACAGACATTTCATTTGAGTCAGTTCTAACTGATCCAAGTCAAAACCTGAGAGTAGTACAGCCTTTTACTCAAATAGTTTGACCCTGAGTTGAATGACAATTAACTCGAATTAGCTATGTTTGTCCTTGGAAAAAGTGTTACCTTGGCTATTTTACAGGTACTTATAGTGAGAGAATAGGCAGTAGGATTCCAGGACAAAATATATTATCCTGGAAGAACTACAAGGTCTGTTTTTACCCTAAGTTGTTCTGTGAGATGCTTGATCTTCATTCTGTATGATTATTGGGGTGTTTTCCTTGAACAAAATGTCTTGCTCTCTGGCACGGCTCTGGGTTTTTTTTCCTAGTTTCAGTTTATGTCACTTGCATGTTTCAGAGAACTCGTTTAATACAGCATTGCCATTTGGCCAATATACTAATTTTGCTTCATATTGTTAACATAATTTCCATTAAAGAAGGAAATATTTGCTGACTAGTAGGATTTATTTACCTTGAGAAGTGTTACATTCTTATGTTCAGCAAAGCCCCAGTTCAGGAAAGAACTTAAAAAAGTGTTTAATTTAAAGCACATGTTTTAGTCCTGTTGGGTTCAACCAAACGTAAGCCCGTTCTTTAAGTTTAGCATGTCCTTAAGTCTTTTCTTCAACAAAGGAGCTTTCTTGAATCAGGACGCAAAACAGCAAAACATGTGTTTATTGTTTCATACATTCTGATGGTTGCAACAAAAATATCTGACAATCTCTGTGATTCTGGTTTGAATAGAAAAGTAGTCATTAAAGACACGGTCCAATTATGAGAAAAGTTACTTATGTGTGTATCTTCTAGGGTTTTTTCCTGTGTTACAGTGTGACAGTCCTAATCCCATGCCTGTCAGATTTTGGTGACACCACATCAATACATAGTTTCTATGCACAGATGATACAACTGAGTTTCTTTTCCTGTAGTATTTCTGTGCATCTTAGTTCTGGGCATGTGTGCATGGATCTTCCATGCATGCATCTGACTAAGGCTGAACCAGATGATTCCTGCCTCACTTTTGCAGACTGTTCTTCTGTTTTAGAAACCACAAAAATGTTATATCCACATAGTTGTGTTCATAAAAAAAAATCAGGGTTTTAGTAAATTATTTTCGGCTGTTCAGTAAGGCAAACAGATGGATTAACACATTTTAGAGCAGGTTAAATATTTAAATAGGGACTGAACTATCATGTTACCAGAGATGAGGAGGAGAAGTTGATCTCCAACCACAGAAACGAAGTAAAATCATGCTTATAAGATGCAGGCTATGAGAAAAAAATATACCGACAGGTTCTTCAACCTAAGTGGATGATGGAAACAACAATAAAAGAGGGTAGTGTTCTGTCAAAGGATAGAAGTGGGAGGCCTACCAACATAAACTGTAGAGTGAGAAGAGCAATATTGAAACAGGTGAAGCAAAACAGAACATGAAGATCTTAGGATTTTTTTTTTTAAGTTCTTAAACAACATAGCTGATACGTGCTGAAACTGAGAAAGTGATGACAGGGGAGGGTTTAGCGTAAGTAACCCTGAATATGAAATTATACATGATATTAAAGCATTCAGATGCCTTCTAAGGTACTTAATCCCCCCCATATGCTGCACCAGTAGCCCAAGCACAAAACTCAAAACTGGAGTCTGCTCTAAGAGCCAAATCCCTAACAATTGATACTGCAGTGCTTACTTTTTAGCACTACAGTCTTTTAAAGGATCTGGCCTTTGTGCCTTTATTTTTCCTATTTGTAAAACTTAATACTTCTCCACTGTGGTATTGTGAGGCTAAGATTCAGGGAGCATGGGGCATTCACATGCAAGGATTATGTGGGTCAGGTAAGCAGAGAGAGGGGTTTATTACTACATGGAGGTAGTGTTCCAAAAAGATTTAGAGTGCCATTGTGAACACACAGTATATTGTGTGGCATTACTGGGAAACAAAAGGTCTGGTGGAAAAAGCCTTTCTGAAGAGGCTGGCATCAGTAATTGAAGAGAACTGAAAACATGTCTCTGGATATATATAAAATGCAGCCTAATGTAAAGAGGCAAATGAGGATGTCTTTGGGATGAGCTTTTATTCACACAGCTACTACAGAGTTTTATTGTCATCTCAAATGCTGAATAAAAAATATTTCACCTTATTGTATTTTTTTAAAGCTATAACAAGTGAATTGTACAGGGATATATAATTGAGGTACATTCAAAAGTATCATCTGCAGATAGAAGTTTCACTCACTCCTTAAGAATATGATAACATCTTACTCAATACATGCAATTAATATATTTATAGGCTGTATTGTGGTTTAGTTAATTAAGCTGATGTTTCATTTTGTTTTTATTAACTTTGCAAAATCCAGTGTGGACAGAGTGTTAAGGACAAACTTGTTACCCACACTGAAATGGGGAGTTCACATGGAAATACTTTATCTCGGGATTTTTAAAAACCTACTAGTTGCCAAAGAGACTTGAAACAATTACTTTTAATGAGCTTATCAAGATTTATAGCAGCTGAATTAAATAGATTTAAAAGATTCAAGTCTCAGAGCCTCATTAAAGGTAAAAGACACCACTGTACTAAAGACCACTTATACATGTGTTAAACCTACCTAAAGCCTTCAAAGTAGTATTTGAGTGCTGTGTTGGTCTTTATTCTGGGGGAAAAAATGTACATATACAGAATATCAAACTGGAAGATCTTCTTTTAACCATTCTTTCTATGCTTCCCAATCACTTTTTCCTCACAGTGGTAACATTCACTTTTTTGTTGTTTCTCTTCTGTTTTTAAAATAGAAAGTGTGACATACTGGAAATCTCTGTTCATCCATCTATGGGAGACTTGCTAAAGAAGTCAAAAAAGAAAAGATGATCTGATGACCTGTGCAGAGAAAATGCTAAGGTATGCCTGAAAAATGCAGTGTGTAGACCTTCAGAGTGGATTATTTCCAGGAATTAAATGGCAAAACAATCATTTGGAGTCATTTCCAGAGCCTTTAATGCTGTGAAATGTATTTTTGTCAGAATTCATCAAGGTCTGATGTCATATTTTGACTGACTACCAAAATACCCTGGAATCCATATATACATTTAAAATAATGACCATTTTAATTTGCTGCTTCTGTAGGCTGTAATTGGAATTCTGTTAACCCTTAATATTTGTGAAACCCCCCCCCCCCAAAAAAACCCTCAACTTTAGCATAATTACAACAAAAATTGAAAAATAAATATAAATCACCATGGTTCTATTGCATTTTGACATTCCCTGAAAAGAGTCCTAATTTTTTTCTCTCCTTGTCATTTATACCCACTACAAACAAGTGCCCACTTAGGACATATGGCTATAAGCTTATTGGCACTGTTTAAAAAGGACCACAGTGACCTGCAAATTTGCCACTTAAGAAACACAAAACAGCATGTCTAATAATATATAACTTAATTATGCACACTGACACAAATGTAAAGCATGCACATAGTGGCTTCTGAGGTTCTCAACACTCTGTACAGACTGTAGAGTGAAAACAGGCTCCAGTTAGTAGACCAGCACAAAACTGTAAACAGTGCAATTGTCATTTGAGCTCTGAGGATTTAAATAGGATTTCTGAGATGCAGAAGACTTCTAGGCCAGGAACAGACTGGAAACCAGTCTATACCCATAACAGAAGCGTGGCATACATATACTGGTTGAAAAATGGTGGAAACCAGTCTAAGATTTGCACCCATCTTCCCAAAAAAGGCCAAATGTGTTTTCTGTTCACGGCTTATCTGTACTACTCCACTTACAGAAAACCACATAACTTGGATTGATTCTGCCTCAGTCTTTTCAAATATTTGTACCTATCCCTGTTGGTAATAAATGAATTATTATACTATATTCCTGTAAGATAAGTAAATGCTAACCCTGTTTCACGCATAGTGAAATTGAGCATAGAGGGTTTAACCAAGTATGTAGAAGATCCAGCAAGAGAGCCTGTATCTCATGATCCACTTTTTTTTTTTAGCCATAAAGCTATTCTCTCCTCCCTGCTCTCCTGAAAACTTTTTACTGACATCAAACTTTTATAACTGACATATATGTCTTTACTAACATATTTTTAAGTAATGTAAATATAACCTTTCTGCCAGACCCTGGATAGGGTCTGGGTTCAAATTAGGGGTTTAACACCAAGCATAGTAAAAATATTTGTCTGTCAGTAAACAGTTCACAAATAGTAAGTAAAAAAATGTCTTGGATTGGCAACACTGCTGGATTACAGCAGTGTTTTTTACTATGCTTAATCCCAAAGGGATCTTTTATTAACCCACAGACCCTGATACCCCTGTCCACAGCTTGCACTATGGTGCCACCTGCAGCCTACCCTTCCAGCGTTACCACAGCTGGCTTTGCACAGACCCCCAAGAGAAGGACCCCCTGTCTCAGCACAGACACCCAGAGAAGGACTACTGTCCGTATACGTGTGAGACAAGCAATGTTACAGGCAATGGGGATACAGTAGCAGCAGAAGCACATAGCTTGGAAAGGACAGCAGGGAGCTACAGAGTCCTATGAGCCACGAAGCCCTGAAATAGCTCTCTTCAAGGTGCTTTGCACTCTCTCTCAGACACCAGGCAGTGCTGCTGTGCTCTCTCTGTCTGCTTCAATAGTGCCTTCAGCATCTTTCCAACCTTGGAGCTTGATTGAAGCTCTGGCAGCTTCCTTTTTTATGAATTGTTAATTTTTTTATGGACACTTGGTGACCCTGGCTCACAGGTTTTGCATCCATTGTACATGCACGTCAGTAGGTATCCATGTACATAGCATCAATATAGAAATTGTCTTGCAAATTGACATAGAATGCTTGACTAGAAAAATTTGGAGTGTCAATGACAGTCTCAGAGATCTATTTGAAATCCTCAATGCAAAAAGGCCTCCATGAACAATACCAGGTGGTCTTAGGAAAAGGATAAACATGATACTATAGTACCAGTAGGCAAATCTATCAACATCCCTTCTCTTCTTTTATTGCATGATGTTGATGGGTAAACTCTATGAATCCTTTTCCAATAGATCCTTCTATAAGTACAAGGACTGCTGGTAATAAATAATTGAAAGCATTTCTTTTGTATGCCTGGTATATCATTCTTTGATTCTGTTCATAAATGTCAGGTGACATGTTACCTGCTTTTATTCTAAAAACAAGGTAGAAGCCATCTACCCTAATGAAAGGAAACATAATGTTTCTGTTGTAAAGCATTTTTCTACCATATTTTATGCAACTATTGCTGCTTTCTCCACCTCTCTCTCTCTCTTTTTCTAAAAGGCCTTATTTATTTGACACTCTAAAAGATAGTAGTATGCAGCAACAAATTGCAAAAGATAATTCTCTTCTTTCTCCTCAGGTCTTTCTTTAGCATGAGTTGAGGACAGTAATCAGTAGGAGGAAGAGGTGTGATTTTTAATGCAGAGAGAAGAAACTTTATTTTAAGATAAATCATGAACTGTAGTAGGGGTGACTGAGTCATCCAGTATAGCTGTTTGGGGGAGGAGGGGGCAGGAATTTCTGCAGGGCATTTTGGGTACTTAAAATCCCAAGGGATAGTCTGTTCCTGACTACATACCTTGTGTTCATGGGTAACCATACACAACTACACAGTCACAACAATTGAGTATGTGCCATAGCAGCCATAACCCTTACGTACACACCTTGGGGATACATAGCAGACTTAGATGTTTGAAAATGGAGATGTCCAGAACTTGTGTCTACCAGGCTTAGCCTCAGGAACCGACAAGTGATAAGGGTGCCCCTCTTTTGTCCTATAACTCAGTGGCTAGGGCATTCACCCGGATTGCTGGAAGTCTGGGGTTCTGGGTCCCCCTCATCTAGAATGGATTTGAATCGGTACCTCTTTCACTTCCTAGCGCAGCCCTCTAACCCCAAGTCAGGCTGGGGCAATCATCTGGAATGCTGGAAGTCCTGGGGATATGAACCAGGACTTATTTCACTTCCTATCACAGCACTCTAACCATTCACCACAGGTCAGGAATTACCCACACCATTCTCCAGCACTGCTTTTGAAGTTAAGCCACTAACATAGCCATTGGGGGAAAAAATATGGAAGGCAGTGCAGGAGGAAGTTTCTGCCTCACTGGGATCAAAGGCACCGGCAGGAACATACAGCCCCTCCTTTCCAAGTCAACAGACATCTCCCTGAGCCACACACCCTATACACCTCCATGGCTTCTCTCCTACAAAGCTCAAGAAAGTTGTAACCATCCTCTCATTGAGCAGTGAGGCAAAATGTGAATGGCAGAAGACTTGCAGACCATAAAAACGAAGGGGAGAACTTTTTGATTGTACTTGCTAATGTTTTTCAGCAAGGAGTAAGTAATGAGAAGCAAAGAAAATGGGATCTGTTCTGTTTCCTGTTGCCTCCTGAGCCTTATGCAAGAATGAAGACCCCTCCCTTAACTCTTGGTCTCATTCTGCTTGAATAAAAACATTAGAATTTGGACTTGACTGAATTGTGTGGAGATGGTCAGAAATGCTCACAACTTACCTTAGAATATACCAGATCCTCCAAAGGATCCACTTGTGACCTAAAAGTCAGTAGATGACTTGAAACAAGGAGAGCAAAGGGGCAACCTTGCAAGGGGGCTGGTTGCTTATGGAATAAAAAACTGAAAGCATTAGCATTGTTAAGATTTCACTGCGGCATTGTGTTCTGACAGTGTGTATTACAGCAAGGGCTACAGGTGGCAACTTGGAAAGAACCCATAGATTTTTGAGTTCCATCTGAAAGGTGACCTTGTGGTTTGACAGGTTGGCGTCCCATAAGTAAGTTGTTATTAGGCAGACCACTAATGCTTATCCACAGCGCTGTTGCTGCACCTTTATTGGGAATGTTAAATGATGTGGTATGCACCACAAAGACCACTGTCCAGAGGAAAGCACTCAGAGGAAGGGAGAGGGGGGGTTAACCACAAAGTGTTTACCATTCTAGTGTGCACTGAAAAAAATGTAGTTGAAAACAGGATTTTCCTTTATCGCTCTTTGTGCATTGTGGTTTTACACAGGCTGCACAAGAGGTTCCTTACAACACTGGTTCTCCAAAGCAGATGGCAAACAATGACTAACCCATTCCTCCCCAGCGCTCAGGAATTAATTGAGGTCAAGCCTAGCCTATCACTGAGGTTCCACTTAAGTTAGCGATGTCTTGCAAAAAAGTTCTGATTGAAATCCAGATTCCACAGAGCTTAGAAATGTTTGGATCACGGTGTCTTTCTTCAAGCCCATTTTGAATATTGATGTTAATATGGATGGATGAAACAATATTTTGCATGATATTAATATCAGATGACAGCTCATACTGCCATTTAAAATCCATTTATTGTAAATGAAATATTAATGATTGTAACTTCTACATGTACTTTTACAAGCTCTTCCTGAACAACTTTAGGACTCCATAGACTACTGCTTGATATTATCCCAGGAACATTAAGGCTTTTTCAATGGGAGGTTTGAATGTTTGCCTTGCTTTAGTAGTAAGGATATTAGACTTAAGATATCAAAAACTAAGGTAATGGGTAATTATATGTTTGTTATACACTCTTCTTCCTGGCATTGTTTATTTTTTGATCTTAGTGTTTAAGGATACAGAGGTTTACTATGGAGAAACTTTTATGAACTGTTGAATTTATGATAATTGGAAGTAAAATAGGAGTGTCTGAAAATTGGGTGTTATTGTATATCAGAAAGTAAATAGTTTCATAGTTTCATAGTTTCTAGGGTCGGAAGGGACCTGAGAAGATCATCTAGTCCAACCCCCTGCCATGGCAGGAAGAGCACTGGGGTCAAATGACCCCAGCAAGGTGTTCATCTAACCTCCTCTTAAAAACCCCCAGGGTGGGAGCCTGCACCACCT